GCCTTAAGGGTTTATTTCGAACTTTCATCAAAATATAAGCCCGTCGATATTCGATCGAGGTCGAACTTTTCCTTTTGGCGAAGGCCCTTAGCCTTAAGGGCGTTATTTCGAACTTTCGTCGAAATATAAGCCCGCCGATGTTCGATCGAGGTCGAAATTTTCCTTTTGGCGAAGGCCCTTGGCATTAAGGGCGTTATTTCTAACTTTCATCGAAATATAAGCCCGTCGATGTTCGATCGAGGTCGAACATTTCTTTTTGGCGAAGGACCTTGGCCTTAAGGGTGTTATTTCGAACTTTCGTCGAAATTTAAGCCCGTCGATGTTCGATCGAGGTCGAACTTTTCTTTTTGGAGAAGGCCTTTGGCCTTAATGGCATTATTTCAAACTTTCGTCGAAATATAAGCTCGTCGATGCTCGATCGAGGTCGAACTTTTCTTTTTGGCGAAGGCCCGTGGACTTAAGGGTGTTATTTCAAACTACGTTGAAATATAAGCCCGTCGATGTTAGATCGAGGTCGAAGTTTTCCTTTTGGCGAAGGCCCTTGGCCTTAAGGGTGTTATTTCAAACTTTCGTCGAAATATAAGCCCGTCGATGTTCGATCGAGGTCGAACTTTTCTTTTTGGCGAAGGCCCTTGGCCTTAAGGGCGTTATTTCGAACTTTCGTCGAAATTTTTCTTGAAGATGTTGGAGAAGTATCGACGCTATCACGACAAGTGCCACGAGATGCACGAGCGGCTAAAGGCGAACCCTGGTGATCGATCTCTTGGCGAGGAGTTGAAGAAGAGGGATCAGGAATTGATGCAGGCTATTCGTAGTAAGAGTGTACTCGAGGAGCAACTTCGTGCAAAGGACGAAGAGCTTGAGTTGGGCAAAGGGGTTGCTGCAGAGTGTGAATATCTTCAGGGGAAGCTGAGGTCGATGCACTCTGAGATGGATCAGAATCTTATAAAGGTCGAGGTGATGAGTGCGGAGTAGATGGGAAAATTGGCCGAGTTGGAGAGAAAGGTTGCCGGGTTGGAGAACATCGAGACCGCCTGGTCGTCGGCATTGGCGAGGGCGACGGCTCTGGAAAACACTATTCGCNGATGTTCGATCGAGGTCGAACTTTTCGTTTTGGCGCAGGCCCTTGGCCTTAAGGGTTTATTTCGAACTTTTATCAAAATATAAGCCCGTCGATATTCGATCAAGGTCGAACTTTTCCTTTAGGCGAAGGCCCTTGGCCTTAAGGGCGTTATTTCGAACTTTCGTCGAAATATAAGCCCGCCGATGTTCGATCGAGGTCGAAATTTTCCTTTTGGCGAAGGCCCTTGGCCTTAAGGGTTTCGAACTTTCGTCGAAATATAAGTCCGTCGATGTTCGATCGAGGTCGAACTTTTCTTTTTGGCGAAGGCCCTTGGCCTTAAGGGCATTATTTCGAACATTCGTCGAAATTTTCTTGAAGATGTTGGAGAAGTATCGACGCTATCACGACAAGTGCCACGAGATGCACGAGCGGCTAAAGGCGAACCCTGGTGATCGATCTCTTGGCGAGGAGTTGAAGAAGAGGGATCAGGAATTGATGCAGGCTATTCGTAGTAAGAGTGTACTCGAGGAGCAACTTCGTGCAAAGGACGAAGAGCTTGAGTTGGGCAAAGGGGTTGCTGCAGAGTGTGAATATCTTCAGGGGAAGCTGAGGTCGATGCACTCTGAGATGGATCAGAATCTTATAAAGGTCGAGGTGATGAGTGCGGAGTAGATGGGAAAATTGGCCGAGTTGGAGAGAAAGGTTGCCGGGTTGGAGAACATCGAGACCGCCTGGTCGTCGGCATTGGCGAGGGCGACGGCTCTGGAAAACACTATTCGCGTCCTCCAATCAGAGCAGGAGCCGGAGAGGGCGACGACCACACTAAAGGAAGCAAGGCTCGAGGAGCGCATTGGTGAGATCGACCGGGAGACGTCATCCTTAGGAGATCGGGTCGCTGCCCTTGAGGCCGAAAAGGTGCAACTGTTGGCTCAAGTCGAATCTTCCTCCGCCGTTGTTCCCCGTAATGTGTATGAGCTTTGGGTTCATGCTGAAGCCCAGCGGGACATATATAAGAACTTGTGGGAGGCGGGTAGTGTTACCGAAGCCGCATATGAAGGAGCTCGGGCAAAGGCACGAGAGGCTCGTGTCAACTGTGGATATGACTCTGCGATGCTGGAGGCCGATGAGGGTGCAGATGATGTGGGAGAACTTCCTGGTGATGGTGGCGGTGATGACGCCGAGTGAAAGAATGTTGTCTTTGTCTGTTTTCTGTCTTTTTTTTATTCGTTGTTTCTTCCTTCTTTTCTCATCTTTTTTTTAGACTGTTGGTTCGGGCCGTATGTAATCTGCGACTGTATGCGCAGTGACTTTGTATAAAGAGGGATTTTTCATTATTATATGCCCTCTGTAATTTTTTTTCCCTGTTTTGCTCTTCATAACTTTGGTGCGAAGTAGATTCCCGCATGACGAGTTCCCTACTCTTTGGGAATTTAGTGTCATGCAGGTTGAATGGGATCTTGGCGATGGCTTTGGCTGGCGAGACGATGTTCGAACTTGTGCCGTGATGTTGTCCCATCATAGTCCGAATGGTATCGAACTATTTTTCTAATAATGACTTTAGCCGTAGGGATATTACTTTCGGGTTCACATGGAAGTATTATACCGTCGCGAGTCCCAGTCTTTCTTTCCTTCGCCTTAAGGGCGTTATTTCGAACTTTCGTCGAGATATTAGCCCGTCGATGTTCGATCGTGGTCGAACTTTTTCTTTTTGGCGAAGGCCCTTGGCCTTAAGGGCGTTATTTCGAACTTTCGTCGAAATATAAGCCCGTCGATGTTCGTTCGAGGTCGACTTTTCTTTTCGCGGAAGCCCTTGGCCTTAAATGCGTTATTTCGAACTTTCGTCGAAATATAAGCCTGTCGATGTTCGATTGAGGTCAAACTTTTCTTTTTGGCGAAGGCCCTTGGACTTAAGGTCGTTATTTCGAACTTTCGTCGAAATATAAGCCCGTCGATGTTCGATCGAGGTCGAACTTTTCCTTTGGCGAAGGCCCTTGGCCTTAAGGGCGTTATTTCGAACTTTCGTCGAAATATAAGCCCATCGATGTTCGATCGAGGTCGAACTTTTCTTTTCGGCGAAGGCCCTTGGCCTTAAGGGCGTTTGTGAGCACGCGATTTTTGCTCTATATGAATTACTCCTACAAAATCCCAAAGAAATAGATTTTTTTTAATTGTTTTGTCATTTTAGGAAATATTGTAGAATTTTCTTAATTATTTGCATTTTTTCTGTGCATGTTTAATTTCATTTAAGTCATGAAAAATACAAATATACTCTGCATTTGCATTTAGGATTTATTTTTATATTTTTAGGTTATTTAGTAAATTAGTTGTTTTATAAAAAAATGAAAAAAATCACAAAAAAATGACTCACTTTGCATTTTTAACTTTTTAATTATAAATTTTGTAGTTTTTCTTTTAATTTGGGAATTAAATAATTGTTGTAAATACTATGATGAGTAATTAGTTTAAATTGGTAAGTTAATTTAGTTTAAGAATTAATTTAGGTTTTAATTTAATTTTAATAGAAAAAGAAAATTGGAAATTGAAAAGTAAAGGAAAAGAGTCAAAAGAAAGGCTTTGATTTTAGCCAATTCAGCCAGCCCAAACGAGTTTCCCCCAAAAGCTTTCGAGTCCAGGCCCAAAACACACCCCAAACCGGTCCAAGCCTTCAGCCCCCAAGACCTTTGAAACGACGTAGTATGGGCGCGAGACTACGTCGTTTTGAGTTCGAAGCTTTAAAACCAATCTGGGCCCTTCATTTTCTTTCATCCAACGGCCATCAGAGCTTCATCATAACATAAAATTGTCCGAAAATCTTAACATTAACCTAGGACCTGTTGTTCCGTCTTCTCCATCACACCCTTCGCTCACCACCGTCCGCCGCCCACCGAAAATCGCCAGCGGCGGCGGGTGACCTCCAATCCTCACCAGATTTACACCATAGCATCCCCTTCATCCCCTCATACCAAATCCACTACCCGTTTCCTTCCAATCATCATAGAGCTCCTCGAATCTGAGATCAAAGTTTGGACCTTCGAACCCTAACCTACCCAAAATCATACCAGGTAACCCCCAGGCCTTCCCAAAACCTATCCCCAAACCTATTTCCCGAAAATCTCAACAAGATATCCCCAATTCCAAATCTAAAAAAAGTTCAAGCCCTAGCTTTCTCTCTTCTTCTGATTCTGTGCAAGGTCCGAGCTCGTATTGACCTATAATCTACGCTAGTCGATTAATCTTAACGAGAGCAATCAATTAGCAATGGTTTTATTTCATTCCGAAGATGCCGGATTTTGGCAAATTCATCAGATTCCGGTCAATTGTTCACCCCCGTCGATATGTTTCATGTCGTCAAGACATTCCGACAGTTTGGTATTTTTCCCTCCCTTTCCTTACTGATTTCATCCATTGTAGTTTTTTATGCTTTCGTTTATTTATTGTTATTTTCTTGTTTGTGTTAGCTTGTTTTCTTTAGTAGTCGAGTTCATTTTTATTTGATAATTAAAATAAATTCAATCCTAAAATTAGAATAGTTTGATTTGTTCTACTTTTTTTTGGATTTATTTCTTTTTCTGTGGTCTTATTTAATCAGTTCTGATTGTTCGAGTTCTCATATTAACTATGGTCATCACTGACCTAGTTAAGAGACTTGTTCATTTGGGTCTTGGTTTATTTTTGACCCAGGTAAGTGATTGGAGGGTAAAGAATAGAGGCTTAAAGGGTAGTCTATGAAATTGGGCAAGGGGAATCTTTAAAAACTGAATAGGAATCTTCCTCGAAAGAGGGGTTTGGGCTAGTTCAGTAATTGGTTTAAAAGTTCAGGGTTTAAAATGAAAAAATGAAAATTCAAAGAAGGGGTAATTGGTAAAAACTTGAACCAATTCTGCTGCCCTAGAGGTCCTCTATAAGAGTCATGTTTTCTTTCTTTGACAAGGGGAGAATTTAGAGATTAGAATACTAAAAAAGGAACAAAAACGGCTGAGCCTTCATACTCTAAAAAATCCAGAAAAAACTTTGCATTGTTTTGGTTCAAAATTGCTGGAATTTGTTCTCTGATTTCATTGTGAGTAGTAATTCAAAAAATTTCGAAAAGATTTCTGGTTGATTTTGGTTCAAAAAATGGCTTAAGGAAGTGGGAATTGATTTGTTGAAGTGCTGACTTGTTGCTGTTACTAAATCTCTCATTTTGCTGACTCTTAAACACATTTTCTTCTGTTGTTTGATTGTTGTATTCAGGTATGCTTTGGACCTCAAAATGACATGTTGAAATTGGCAATGAGAACGTTGATGACACACTGTTTCATTGCAATCTATTCTATATTACTCAATTCTGTATTTATTTAGTTTTTCTTTTATGTGTTTATGTGTTCATTATGCTGTTATTGTTGAAGCTCATTTGTAAGTTGAACAAGTAACTTAGTCTAGCATGTTTTGATTTGTGAATTGGTGAGAGTCTTGTTAGATATGTTCAGTTGTGCTTTAGACTGTTGGGTTTAGTGTTGAGTATTATGTTCAAAAGCTATGGTATTTGAGAATGTTTGGTGAATGATTGAACCATACGTAAAGGATTGAATGGGAATCCTTAGTTGGATTTCAACATTATCTAGAATTGAGGTAGTGAATGTTTGGTTTATAGTTGGTGTGTAATTGATGGGTGCATATGTGAGCTTGGTGGTTCTGTTTTTGTTTTGAAAAGGAGAAGAAACATGCTCTTGTGTTCTCATTAAAAGCAGGTCGTGTAATTTAAATGGTTAAATGTTTAATGCTCCAAAGGCTACTGTATTCCAATATGTGCTAAAGTGCAAAGTTTCAAGGACTGTTGGGCTTAACGCTAGGCCCAAAGAAATCAGTCTACGGCCATAAGATTTGCCCTATTGTGGGCTCGACCTGGGGCCCCATGGCCTTCAGTATGTGCTCATTCTCCTAAGAGAGTTTGCTTGGTTCAACAAGAAAAGGATTTTAACAAAAGTTCATTTTTAAAATGTTAATTCAATTCAGATTTCATGAAGCCTTAGTTGATCTGTGTTAAATGACTTCGTATATATTTTTATTCTGAGAGTTGGGCTTAATGCTGGCCCAGTCGGTGAAAGGACTCAGTCGTCTTGACTGCCCTTTACCCGCTCATTCTCTTGGGCTGAGTTCAGCTTAGAAGTCCAACGCTCCCCTGTAACTAGTAGTTGTGCAAACAATAGTTTCAATTATGTTGTTTTTAAGATGATTCTTTTACTTAGGTTGAGGTGTGCCATATTAAACAACACCAAATAGTTTATGCCCCTCATAATGCTAAATTAAGAAATCATTCGAACAATTGGACTTGAGGCGCGCCATATTAAGCAAGCTATAATCTATGGCCCTCAAAAGATTAGTTCAAACATCCTTTTGAAAAAATAGACTTGAGGTGTGCCATTTTAGTAAATAACTCATGGCCCTCATTTAATTCATATTAACTCTTTAAAAATCGAGGTGTGCCATCAATTAAACTTTCCATAGCCCTCGCAAACCTTGTTATTAATTTGAAATTTCGTAGTTGCTTTAGGCGCGCCATGTAAATTGATTTTCTTTCATTTATTAAATTCGGGTGTGCATTTCACGTGACCCAATTTTAATTCTTAACAATGTTAAATAGAACTTGTCGCGAACCGCGGGTGCATTTCCTGTGCCGTGGTTCAAGGCATGTTTTAAATAACGTTGACTCTTCCTAAAAGCGTTCTAAAATAATTAAAAAGCGGTTATAGAGTTAAAAATGCACCATAGGCTAAAATATTTAATAAATCAGATAATAGGCCAATTATAATAGTTTAAGCGACCATGCTAGAACCATGGAATTCGGGAACGCCTAACACCTTCTCCCGGGTTAACAGAATTCCTTATTTAGAATTTCTGGTTCGCAGACTTCAAAAGGAAAGTCGAGTTTCCTCGATTTAGGATTTAAAAATAAACCGGTGACTTGGGATACCAATTAAAATATTCCAAGTGGCGACTCTAAAAATTAAATAAACAATCCCATTTCGAATAATGTCACTTAAAGTGAAAAACTCCCATATCCCCCTTGTATATCCTCGGGGGGGAGGGGGGGATAAAAAGGAGGTGTGACAGCGCTATTTCGAACTTTCGTCGAAATATAAGCCCGTCGATGTTCGATCAAGGTCGCACTTTTATTCTTGGCGAAGGCCCTTGGCCTTAAGGGCGTTATTTCGAACTTTCGTCGAAATATAAGCCCGTGATCGGTCGAACTTTTCCTTTTGGCGAAGGCCCTTGGCCTTAAGGGCGTTATTTCGAACTTTCGTCGAAATATAAGCCCGCCGATGTTCCATCGAGGTCGAACTTTTCTTTTTGGCAAAGGCCCTTGGCCTTAAGGGCGTTATTTCGAACTTTCGTCGAAATATAAGCCCGTCGATGTTCGATCGAGGTCGAACTTTTCATTTTGGCGAAGTCCCTTGGCCTTAAGGGCGTTATTTCGAACTTTCGTCGAAATATAAGCCCGTCGTTGTTCGGTCGAGGTCGAACTTTTCTTTTTGGCGAAGGCCCTTGGCCTTAGGGGTGTTATTTCAAACTTTCATCGAAATATAAGCCCGTCGATGTTCGATCGAGGTAGAACTTTTCCCTTTGGCGAAGGCCCTTGGCCTTAAGGGCGTTATTTTGAACTTTCGTCGAAATATAAACTCGTCGATGTTCGATCGAGATCGAACTTTTCTTTTTGGCGAAGGCCCTTGGCCTTAAGGGCGTTATTTCGAACTTTCGTCGAAATATAAGTCTGTCGATGTTCGATCGAGGTCGAACTTTTCCTTTTGGCGAAGGCCCTTGGCCTTAAGGGGTTCGAACTTTCGTCGAAATATAAGCCCGTTGATGTTCGATCGAGGTCGAACTTTTCTTTTTGGCGAAGGCCCTTGGCCTTAAGGGCGTTATTTAGAACTTTAGTCGAAATATAAGCCCGTTGTGAGTCTCGGTTTTTTGGAGAGTTGGGTATCTTCTGGGGGAATCCCAGTTCGCCTGATTTTATTTGCATCAGGAGCGTGATGTCGGGGAGCAGAGAACGCTGCTGCTTTGCTCACACTCGTTTCACACGCATATTGGAGTTTCCCTATCTGACTTTTTACTTTTCGATCTGGAAATGTTATTGGCGGGCGGGACGATGAATTACACTTTCCCTTCAGGGATTTTCCCCTCGTCTTCACGGTTTTTAGGTCCTTGGGAAGGCTCTCCTGGGACACCTTCTCGGCGACGACGAGGGAGGGCCATTCAAGGGGTATCGTTTCCTAGGGGCTAGGTTTGTTCGGTGGGTGGTATTTCAGTTGTTTTGTAGTAATTTCCCCTTTTTCGGTAGGGTTGTTTCCTCACTCACTCGCCCGTGTGGTGCCCGCGTTCTTGTTCGAGCAATCGGCAGAAGGTGGGCCAGTATGATATTTCCTTATTCCGATTCAATGAGTTGGAGAGTGAAGGTGGATTTGTGGTGTTGCTCGTTTCGTTTGGCGCTTTGATGGTTGGTGGGGGTGACGTTTTCTGAATTCGGTAACTGTATTCAGCTCTCTTTCCTCTTATTTGGTCGCGGAGTGCTTAACTCTCCCTTTCTGTCTCCTTCATTTTCTTCGAAACAGCTGTAAGCGTATCATTGTTGTTCTCTTTTGGCGGGTGGCTATGTTTCCGGTTTTCGATCTGGAGAAGATCAGGAAGTTTTCACTAAGAAATCCCCACGGACGGTGCCACATTGTTTGACCAAAAGATATTGAAACCTTTTTGATTAAATCAATTAAGGAAATTGAAGAGGTAAATCTTAGCCAAACATAATAAATTCTAGATCTACAGACAAACCAAAAAATGATACATAAAATGAAATAGAGGCGATAAATTATCTAAGCCTTTCATTTCTTCTTGCCCCAATCAGTGAAAATGACTGTTGTACATATGCAATAGAAGATTCGAAATTGATTTACTTTCTGCTCACTAAGGAGATTACATAGGAAAAAGAGAGAGAAAAAAGCCTCCCCTTTCTAGGAAGGTCTCATCCCTATATATAGTCATGCAGTCATTGCCATGTATTTTGGCCATAGCCCCCCTCACTCCGCATCCGTTTTCATCGTTCGGTGAATATGTAGTTTGGCGTAAATAATGTCATTTTTCCTTATCCCATTGTTTGGACGTGGTCCCAATTGGGTCGGCCAGAGGGGTCAGATTTTGACCAATACAATATCTAACTTAAATCCTTTAGCTGACCCTCTTCTTCCCATTCGAGTGACTTTGTGATATTCACTAATAGTGTATAAGTTTTATAATAGCAATATATCTAACTTAAATCCTTTTTTTTTCCTTTGGGTCTCCCAAAAAATTGAAGATAGGATTTACAGTAAGCTAAATTCTCCACGTCTATGACATGGAGTACAAACGGAGCAGTAAAATAGAGGCCGAAAAAATCTGACATCACCAGCACTGATCCGTTTCCCATCTCCGGTTCAGGCAAAACTCCGTTTCACTGATCCGAGAACGTGGCATAAGCATCGTGGATTTTTTGAGGTCGTAGATAGCCCTAGCTGCTGGATCAGAGAGCGCAGATGAGTAAGTGATGCTATCAGATGAGTAAGTGATGCACCATGGATTAAGTGATGCTATCAGATGAGTAAGTGATGCTACGAACTTCACCAGACCATGCCGTAGCATAAAGTTCAGAATCCTATTCACAATATGCCAGGGGATATATTTGACAGAGAAGCCATTAGGTTCGTGGCGAAACTTGATGAGGGAATCACGGACCTTCTTGTTCAGCTCTTTGAGTATCTCAGAAAGTGGTCGGCTGATTCCTGAAGTTGGGACATCGTACTCCGGCGTTTCCCTGTCGGAATCAAACATCATTTTCTCTCTGTCTGTGCCTTTGACTGCCAAAATCGGAGACGAGGACTTGGCAGAGAAAGAGCGCTGGCAAAATCGGACTCTGTTCAACACAGAAGAAGAGGTTGAACGCAATAAAGAAAAGGCCATGGCTTTCCCGCTTCCTTAGTTCGCTCTGCTGTGTGCCACAGTACTCCCACAATGAAGGGGGCGGTTGGGTAGCATGTTTCAGGCGTTTTTTTTTCCTCTTTGTATTTGTAACTTTGTTTTTCTGATTTTGTATTTAAAAATGGGACCCACAAATAACACATGGCAAGTAATAAATAGCTTAGCATGATGTGTTGTACATGTCAGCGCAATTGATATACACGCTCTGGTGGATGTGTTTATTATTACCCATTTTGTCAAGTTGGAGTGTTCAAATGAGAAAATCCAAAGTTCATGTATCGGCTTTCAAAAGCCCTACAAGTTTAAGTGGCCAGGAATCCATTACGCCTTTGGCTTATGTCTTAAAGTTGGCCCTACCAATCATATTTAAGAGCATAAGTTTCAAAAATATCTATTTGTGCCCGATCTATTACACCATCAATAACAACATACCTAGTATTATCTCACACCGTGAGGTCTGGGAAGGATAGTGTGTACGCAGACCTTACCCCTACCTTGTGAGGATAGAGATGTTATTTCCAATAGACCCTCGGCTCAGGAAAGTATAAACACTGTCACACCTCCTTTTTTACCCACCCGAGGGAGTATAAGGGAGTTTTTCCACTTTAAGTGACATTATTCGAAACGGGATTATTTATTTATCAGAGCCGCCACTTGGGATAGTTTATTTGGGGTCCCAAGTCACCGGTTTATTTTTACACCCCAAATCGAGGAAATTCGACTTTTATTTTTAAA